CTAGCTTTAGGCTCATTTTCATCTCTAATTGATTTTTTAATATAAAAGCTGTTTTATCTCAAAACTGAACAGTGTTCTAAACTTAAGATTTTTTTGGTAATTTACATTGAACTGATTGGCATCTTCTAGTGTATTGATATTTTTAGTAAGAAAAATCAGTGCTTTGTGTGCATAGGATATAGCAGTTGATTCCAATGGTATTTTTAGAGTACTGTTTTTTGTTCTGTGCCTATTTAAAACAGTGCCTCTCTTAGAAGGTGCTATTAATACCTATTTAAATAAAAGACGAGGGTTTAGTTAATGTTTATTAACTGAACATTCTTATTTTGGTTATTCTGATTATTCTCAAATTAAGTGCTTTTTGGTCACTTAATCATATGGATTATTTTACATTTTACAGTAACATGGTTATCTTAGTAGTTTCGTGTCAGCATGAACAAACTTTTTTCCAAAATTTAAACTGTATAAGACATCTGACCTTACACAGAACTGAGGCATGTGGAGGCTGCATTTGTCATAGTGTTTTTCTATGATAAATAGTTTTAAAAAAGGACTATATGAGCATTTATGCTCATAACTACATGCCAGATACAAAAGAAAAACAAAGTTGGCAAACTTTTATTTGGAAGAAGGAGTTGATAGATAGTAAAGGAAATTTATGCTTAATCACTTCACCAGAAAAGAGAGCAGAAACCCATCATGGGAGATTTCAAGAAGTACAAAGGTTTTTAAGAAACTGTAGAATTATTCTTCCTGTTTATCCCATGTGGAATCTCAGTAGACAAATTATGGATCCTTATCACAAAGCTGGTCATTATTTTGTGCTTGTGATTTAAACCTTACTTTGAGTTGATTCTTAAAGTTAATATTTTTTCTCAAATTAGATGTTTTTCTTTTATATTGCTATATCCCAAATGTTATTTTTCACATACTTCTTTACTAGAAATTCGTGAGAATGATGCCGTTGTCCTCTGTCTCTAAGGGCTGCACTTCAGATGTGGAGTACAGTTGCTCAGAATTTGAGACCACCATATATATAAAGATGCAGCCACTTTTGCTTGAGAAATACCTCTTCTTTTTTCCTCCTCCAAAGGAGCTGGCACAATTAGGTTCCCTTCCCCATGAAGGAAACATTTACGCATGATCACTAGCATTAAACCAACTACTGAGAGCCGTAAATGTGGGAAACAAAAAACTCACTTCTTATTCCCTATTCAATGAGAACCAAGTAAAAAGAAATTGTACATTGTTTCTCTTTCCTAATTGCCAACTGTGGTGTTGTGTTGTGTGGGGGGAAAAGAAACAAGTGTGCAGGGTAGCTATTGACAAAATTAAACTATAGCTGAAGATACTTTCACTTTTCTTAATTTCAAGAAAAAAGCAATAAAAATGTAGGTTGGTTATCAAAAGAAGATGACTTTTGCAAATATGGACAGAATAATGAATGTAGGTTTATGTCAGCTTTTTTTTTTAACTATTTCAAAAGCAAGTCTACATTTTGCCTCCCAGTAAATTCTAGAGTAGAAGTAATGTGGACATATTCAGTGTTTGTTTTTTTTAACTTAGATTATTGAAGGAATGCTCATGAAAAGAATATTATCATGCACCTTCTGTTTATTAACTCTTTAAATGAAAAATATTTAATATCTATGCTGGCAGAGGTCCGTGCTTATCCAGTCACCATCTTCTCCTCCACACTCTTATGCGGCACAAAGGCAGCAGTGAACAGCTGCTTTTTCTCCTCCCTCTCTCTTTTCAAAGACTCAGTGGTACTTTTACCTGGAGAAAGAAAGGTAATAGAATAATCTTAGCCACTTATTAAAAACTGAACTCAGGAGGCTGGAGAGATGGCTCAGCAGTTAAGAGCACTGTCTGCTCTTGCAGAGTACCCACTTCAGTTCCCAGCACCCACGTGGCAGCTGACAACCATCCATAACTCCAGTTTCAGGGACCCAGTGTCCTCTTCTGACCTCCGTGGGCATTGCATGGCATAGGTGCACTTAAATACATGCACGCAATACACACATACACATAAAATAAAATAAAAATAATAAAATATAAAATCTGAACTCAGGCTGAGGAGATGACTCAGCAGTAAAGCCTTTCTATGCAAGCATGAGGGACCAAAGTCTGGATCCCACAGAGAAAACAGGCCACATGGTGTCCAGCCTGTAATTCCAGCATGCTAGAGGTAAAGATGGGGGACCTCTGGAGTAACCTAGTTAGCCAGATTCACCAAAACAGCAAGCTCTGGGTTCATCAAGAGACCTTGCCTCAATATAGGAAGTGAGCCCTTGAAGAAGTCACCTGACATCAATCTCAGCCCTTTACACATATGCAGACACATTTGTACGTGTACCTAAACGCATGTAAAAATGTGTACATGTATGTACCACATGGATATATATGTACAAAAAATTAGCTAATTGATTAAACCCTAATACAAGGGGTGATTAGAATATTAACCTCTTCCCTTCTGAGATAATTGAGCTGTCATGACCAATTGAGTCCAAAAATATCATCAGTTGCTTTCCTATTCAAATCAGTCTTCTGTATGGGTCTTAATTTGTTATCTCTTGTTCAGTGCTTTCAAAATTATCTTTAAGAAAAGTGTCTTTCCTCCAAACTTCAAAAATACTTTGATAAAACTGTTATTCATTAGAAACATTCCAACTTGTTCAACTTAAATATTGCATTTGTTAAAAGTCTGCCGTTTGGTAAGTGTGAAATACGGTGCATACTTTTAACTTGAGGTTTTAAATGGAGCTTAATAATGAAAAATGCCACTAGCCACTTTTGTAATAATGCCAAGCAATAACTCTCCAGGTATGGTTTTATGCCAAATGTTTTCATGAAGGCCCTAAGTCATGAACATAGAAAATCAACTTCCTAGAGGTGATATGATAATTCAGATTGCTGAGTACTGGGAAAGGCATGGGAGGCATCATTCCTTGGATTTCAGAACTATCAACTGAGTTTTATTTTCACAAAGGAAATGGATGGTGAAACAACCTCATCTGCACTGGTTTATCAAGCAGCATTTTACTTTTTGTAAAGTTGAATTCAACATAAAGGTTGGTATACTACTTTCATTGGATTTCCTACTCCAGTTTTTTCATTATAGAAATTAGCCTTGTAAATATTCCCTTTGGATTTTTCTAAACAGAATATTTGTTGTAGTCATAAATGTTTTTAAAAAATTTACACTCTGTGGTACTTCAGGGTTATTAAAAGTTCATTGATGCCTTCTAAAAATCTTTTCTCAAAAATACATCTGGAAGTTCATGACTGTTTTACTTTCTCTTAACTCTTTACGAAGATAGAGGGATTTTCCCCCTTCAATTATTTTAAATAGTATTTATTTGTATCTAAAGCCTTAAGTTATTCAAAGCATATTATCTGTAATACATTGCTAATCATGATCTCTCTGCACTGTGTATTATCACAACAAATGGATACCAGTAAGAGAAAATACATTTCTGGAAGCACAGGTCTGATCTGTTCCCTTGTTATTGTGCAGAGAAGGCGGCCCAGCTTTCCTGTATCACATGATGTTCTTGTCAGTAGTCTAAGAGAAGCACATGGTATTTTTAATCTAAAATTTGAAAGACAACAATATTTAGTACTTTTATTCTTAATGTTCATTCTTCAAGAATGTATTAATATAAGAACTGTGGCTAATAGGACCCTGTTGTTAGAACTGTATTGACAACTGTAGTAGATAATGTTATTTCTTCATTTTTACTCAATTTCATTAGACTCAAATTATTTTTTATTTTTATACAATTATTAAACTGCAGGTTCTCTAGATTTAGAAAAAAATGAGTATTGAAAAGACGACTTGATCTACTTAAAATCCTGTCTGTGAACTTATATGTGTATGTACAAATGTAAAAATTGTTGATTTTTTAAATTCTCTCCACAGGAACAAAACTTGTATACAATTTTTTAATTTAAGTGCTTTAACATAAATTATTCCCATGTATTTTTAAGGTATGACTCATCCTTATATGTGCCCCATAGTTATCTTCAGGCACAAAAGATGTTACTTTTGTTACAGTAGAATAAGCATAAGACTGGGGCAGGAATGTGGGAGAGGGTAGATAGACTGCTGGGCTTCAGCAGAGCAATGCATGTTAGAAGAAAACTACTAAACTGCACAACAGATCTAAACTGTAAGATATATGATGTGCTTGCATCTTGATGTGATCCTCACACCCAAGCTTTGACTTTGGCCTCTAAATGATAGATGACAGTATCATATTATTACTTTCCTTTTCCTTTAAGCTTTTTAAAAAATTATTTCATTCTATAGACCATGTTCTGCAAGATTTATTGAGGGAATACATATCGCTAAAATCAGTTACTGTCTTCTACTTTCTAAACTAAGCACATGGCCAAATGCTGTACTTTTTCTGTATTTCAAGATAACACACGGCTTCTACAAATAGTTAGCTTGTAGGAGATAACTGAAATTTACATGAAGGTCATTATTTTTCTTAATTCGTTGTGGTCAATGAATTTTTAATTTAATAAAAAATTAAATCAAGAAATATTTAGTGTATTATTATAAGTGAATACTAAATACATCAAGTGAAACAGGCTTGGAAATAAACAGTAAGCTGTGGGGCCATTCTGATGACAGAATTGCATTATGTATTGTGGTGTATGGGCACTGGAAGATAGCATAAGTATCATCATACAGTCATTCATTTATGAAACCACACCGGCATTTCATCTTGCAAGAGACAATTAGCTAGTATTTAAAAATAAGTACTATCTTGATTTTTTTTTCTTTTGACATATTGACTGAGTTTAAAAGCATATATCAGAATTTTACATTTGACTCTAATGTGAAGAATAGACACCCCAATTTTCCAGTTGTATGAATGTAAAATACTTGGACACAGTGTATATGTGGTGTAACATCTGTATATTTGGTCAGAAAGGCAGATAATTGAAAAAAA